TATATATATATATATATATATATATATACACATATGAAATGTTTTATATGCTAAAGGATTTGTATTTCTGTCCATCATCCGGAATTACACAGCCCTTCCAGAAAGAGTATGACCTTCTTGGTGTCCTTCTGCTGCAGTTATTACAACTAGGTCTTGTCCCTCCCCGAGCCTGTGACTGGACAGTGAAGGAGAAGCAGCAGACTGATGAGCTCATCTCTCAGTCATTCTGCTCTCTCCTCCTCAGTCTGTGCTCTGCTGTACAGGGACTGCAAGAGGCTAATACCAGGTCAAATTCAGGTACCTATACCAGTTACTTTTAAAAAATACAGTTACTTATTCTTTATTAATCATATAACTGCATGAAACGACATTTTTATGTGACTGGAGTTTAGTTTAAAGCTATTATAAACATTTTTACACAGTAAGGATGCCATTTTTCCTGACTCCATTAAGGAGATTTTGCCTCACTTCCTGACCCTGTGACACCAGAAAAAGAAAGGAGGGGACAACGATGTAACCATTGTCAGAAAATCAAGCTGATACCCAGTCTGCTAGAACTGTGTTATGTGTGTTCCCACTCCCCCAATAATAGGAAGTAAGGGAAATCTCCCCAACAGGGACACAAACAGTGCCTGACAGAGGCTCTAATCCAGGGGTTCTTAATCCTTTTAACCTATGGTTCCCCCCTCCCCTCTCTGTTCTTCCAGCGCTCATTGGAGGGACAGACAGGGCAGTGGGCGGGCACAGCTGGTTCTGGCTCTAGAGAGGCGGAGCCAGCTGTCAATCAGACAGCCGTGTGGATCCTGACGATATTGTTGGGATCTTTCCCCCCTGCAGTGCGGCTCTGTGCTGTCAGCTTACAGTGAGCAATAGCCTTGTGTATGCTGAGTTTTGGGTCATCCCCCCCCCCCCTTCCAAAAAAAAAGTTTGTCTTTAGTTTTCTGATGAATTTGAGACCTTTCCAAGGTTGAGCCCATTGCAGGATCCCTTCTCTATTCCCGTGAGCTTCACATCCAGCACTTCTGTTTGGCCATAAATACAATTTCCCGATTATTGCTTTAATTACTGTTATCAAAAAGGAGACCAAAATAGGCCAGAGTGACTCAGTGTGTGTCTTAAAGAAGAACTCCGGGCACAATTGTTATTAACCCTTGCAGCGTGGAGCTACCTCCACACTGCAAGGGTTATCTGCTCGTTTTTGTCTAGATGCTGAAATAAAAAAGTTATACTTACCCGGTGATCCTCGGAGCCAGCCGGCTGCTACTCCGGTCCCTGCAGCGTGTCTCCCCCTCCGCTCCAACGTTCTAAGGTTCTGTAAGTCATCACGTCCTGTACAGTGTATGGGACATGAGGACACCCAGGAACATACCAACACTGGAGCAGGGGGGGGGAGTGAGGCTGCAGGCTTCAAATAACTTTTGTTATTTTCGTCCCTAGATGAAGATGAGCATTAACCCTTGCAGGGCGCTGCAGGTGTTAAGAGAAATGATGCCCGGAGTTCTTCTTTAAAACCCAATGAACACACAACAGAGGAAACCGCTTGTTACCCAAATAGAAGCTTATTCTTTGTTATCTTGCTTTTTTCTTAGAGACCTAAAGCCTGAAAACATCCTCCTAGATAGCCAGGTAAGCAAAGAGAAATCGGAAAGAAATGATGAGTGTATTGGCTGGCTACCAAACATTGATAAAGCAACACGGCCAACACATGGGCGGGAGGAAAAATAGGGCCAACCGCCAACACACAAACACACCAACACACAAACACGCCAACACACAAACACGCCAACACACCAACACACCAACACACAAACACGCCAACACACAAAAAAATGGCAAGATGGGAAAACAATAGTATTCACCTCTCCAGGGGGCAGTAACTCTTCTGGAACATTCACACCATAGTGTTGCCCCGAACTGAAGGGGCGGAGTTGCCCACCCCAGTGGCGTCACAAGGGGGGTGCAGCCCGCACCTGGGTGCCACCATTGGAGGGGTGACACCAAAATGACTGACACTCATTTTGGTGTCACCCCCTCTGAAAAGTCGGGCACTCGGTCATGGACCTAGAGCCCGACAGTGTCAAGAAAGAGGAGGGGACCCGGCAGCAGACCTCATCCCGCCGGGTGAACGTCCCCTCCTCTCTCTGTCGACATCCATCACGTGCATGCGGAATGACGTAACGCGGGAATGTCACCCGGTCTCTGCTCCGGATGTCACCTGGCCTCGGGAAGCCCCTGGCTCACCCCTGCCTTAGGGTCCATCCTGCCCGAAAAGTATATTGAATGCTAAAGCTTCTTTAGCCACTGTGGCTTTTGAAGGGCCCATTTACTCCGTACAGGGCCCATTCCCGCGATTAATGTACGCTTTCGCACAACGCACCTAGCGGACATTACCGTGCACCGGATGCATTGCATTGCCATTTATTCGAATGGCACCCAACGCACCTCTTGGTGGCTGTGCACTGCAACACAGTGCATGCACTACTTTTCTTTTTTTTACTGCAACACAATGCACTGTATTACAGTTGCCAAGTGAATGGCAATGCAGCATGCCTAGCTGTGTGATAGCATGCGTTAAACGTGTGAATGGGCCCTGTAGCACTTCAAGAGCTAGAAAGGCTAAAAAATCTTCAGTATTTAGTACACTTGTGCGCTGGTTGGATGTCTAGTTACCCTAATGGGCATCTTCAGTAAGTAAGTTTACAAACTTGTAGATGGATCTGGTCATTAGGAGCGGGAAAGAACTTATGGAAATTCGGTATAGAAATACAGATTCCACAAAGTGATTCATTAAAGGAGAACTATGAGATGAGTGATTTCCACTCACCTCATAGTTCTAGCCGACCTGTGACAATGAGACTGTCACAGGTCGGCTCAGTAGATCGGGAGGTGAACGAACACATACCGGCGTTCGCTCACCTCTCGATCCTGTCACGGTTCTCTGCCGTTGCAGGGGGAGGGGCTGGATTCCCCTCTCCCCGCTCCGATCTGCCAGCGCTGACTGGCGGAACAGACGGGGGAGGGGGCGGGTACAGCTGGCTCTGCCTCTAGATAGGCAGAGCCAGCTGTCACTCACGCAGCTGGGCGGATCCCGACGTCCATGTCGGGATCCGCTCCGGCTGCGGCGTCTCAGTATACCGCGAGCTGTAGCTCGCGGTATACTGAGCTTAGGGTAACGGGAGGACGCTAGTTTATGGGGAAAAACACTGACCCCATAGTTCTCCTTTAAGACCCGTGTATATACATGTCATATGTTCTCAATGATTAATAAAACTATTATAGAAAAATGATATATTGATTTTTAGTTTTTGACTATCGATATCCTTTAACTCACTTGCATGTTATTCCCTGCTTACTTCTAGGGTCATGTCGTGCTGACTGATTTTGGTCTCTGCAAAGAGGGGATGGATCCAGAAGAGACCACTTGTACCTTCTGCGGGACTCCTGAGGTATGGAGGTCACCTAACACTGAGTTCTAGGTCCCAACAGGGGCAAAATATGAAACATTGTTCCAGAAGGATTTATCTACAAGGCCTAGCTTTAGGCATGCTACTCTATTTCAGGGGAAAGCAACCTCGGTCCTCCAGCTGTTGAGGAACTACACGTCCCATGAGGCACTGCAAGACTCTTGACAGCCACGGGCATGACTCCCAGAAACAAAGGCATGATGGGATTTGTATTTTCACTGCAGCTCGAGCTTGCCTACTTCTGCTCTAGTCTTTTATTTAAAGGATATATTGTTATTTATTTATGTGGAAATCTTTTACTGATTCTGTAACAAATAGGACAAAGGAAATCTGTTTCTCCATAACCCTCTATAATGATGGTGGTAGATTTAGACAATACATCTAGATTTCATAAGTTGGGCCTGGGCCAGGAGTATGCAAAGTTGGCCACTTCGGCTGTTGTGGACTACAAGTCCCATGAGGCATTGCAAGACTCTGACAGCCACAGGCATGATCCCAGAGGCAGAGGCATGTTGGGATTTGTAGTTAAAGCACAGCAGGAGGGCCGAGGCTGCATGTAAGCATATGTCTTTTAATAGTAGGAGTGATGGTATCTCCTTAAAAAAAAAAGTATGTACACGCATGTGCGTTTTACATTACATGTTATATTTGAGTAATGAGCATTGATGTCCTTAGTACTATGATGATGCATCTTTTTTACCTCCCTCCTCTAGTACCTGGCCCCAGAGGTCCTGAAGAAGCAGCCTTACGATCGCACCGTGGACTGGTGGTGTTTGGGTGCTGTCCTCTATGAGATGCTCTATGGACTGGCAAGTATCTGATAGAACTCATAGAGGGGAACGTATCAACGCTGGAGCAGACAAAACATGGAGCAGCTGCCCATGGCAGCCAATCAGGTTCTAGCTTTCATTTTTCATTGATTGAACAAACTGAAGCAGAGCCATAGCTCGCTCCTTTTGCGAAAAAAGTGACCCCTCCCAACTGGCGTGTGACGTCACCCAACGCCGCGGCGCCTTGTGATGTCATGCGCTCCGCCTGCAGGATGTTTTTTATTATTTGTTTTTTATTATTTCTTATTTATTTGTTATTATGTTTTTAATTTAATTTTAATTTTTTTTACAGTTGGGGGGCTTCAGGGAAATATTGGGGGTCTAAACAGCCCCCTGACATTTACCTTTTAAAATAGAAAAAGAAATTGAAGACACAGAGTCCTCAATCTCTTTTTCTGCAGCCTCTGTTCTAAATGAATGGAAAGTACAGATGCTTCCTATTCATTCAAAAAATATTTACTATCAACCAGTTTCTGAATGAAGAGAAGCCTCTGTACTGAGTGCTACTACCATTCAGAAACTCATGAATAAACAGGAAGTGATGTAAAGCACTTCCTGTTCATTCATAATTGGGGACACATAGTGCTATGTGTCCCCAATTGTTTTTAAAAAATCGCTGATCGCTCCAGTGTGTGCTCTTCACACAGAGGATCGGTATATATCATTGATGTTTACAGATCCTCCTCTCTCCATCCTGAGCCGCTCGGCCACGCACAGAGGGGCGGCACAGCTCCTTCTCAGATCCCCGCTGCTCTCCCCCTCTTGTATGGGGGGAGGCAGCGGGGATCGGAGGAGAAGTGAAACGCTGAAGCCAGTGGGGGAGGGGGGGATGGAGGAGGGAGCACTGTCTTCATCTGCACTTCAGGATGGCTCATACAGGCGGGGGAGAGCAGCAGGGATCAGAGGAGAAGCTGCAGGGTGCCTCAGTTGCCTCTCCCTAGCTACGGCCCTGAACTGAAGAGCAAAGCTGATTGGTTGCTATGGACAACTGCTCCAGATTCTGTCTGCTCCAGTTTTGATCAATTCCCCCCCCCGTTGTATTCTTGTGCACTCTCTCACCACCCTTTGCATTTTCTCTTTCTGCTATGTGTCAGCTATCCCTTTTCACTAAGGGCATGGTGCTTGTGTAAGAGGAAAGGACAGATTGAGCAATCTCAGATTGGTCATAGTTTGTCTGCTATGTTATTGTTCTTGGACCATCTCCACCCTGTTATTCACACTTCGCCTATTTCTTTATATAAGTGTCTGTCTGGACTCTGGACTTCAATGATCTGTTGCTCCTGTATGCACTAAGTGCTCGTTTTGGTTTAGACTAGAGGTGGGCAACTCCAGTCTTCCAGCTGTGCTTTAACTACAAATCCCAACATGCCTCTGGGAGTCATGCTTGTAACTATCAGTCTTGCAATGCCTCATGGGACTAGTTCCACAACAGCTGGAGAGCCAGAGTTGCCCACCCCTGCCCTAGACAAAAGGAGCAATTAACCCTTGCAATGCAGGGGTAGGCCCACTGCCACGGATGGATTTCCCACCAACCAAGGCCAGCCCCGGGGCAGCAGGGAGTAGAGGGGCAGCAGGGGTGTGGAACTCCTAACTCCCGACGCCCGGGGCATTCAGTTCCGGGCGCTGGGCGGGCAGTTGTTTTCTACATTTAGCCCCGCTTTGGGTAAGCAGAGTTAAATGTAGAGCGGGGAAGCTTGTTTTGTACAAGTGATCTGGGTGATGTTGCTGAGATCACTTGTATGCCGCCTGAAGGTCTGTCATTCTCCATGGGAGGGGTTTTGATGGGTAGGGGGGCGCATTGAGGAACCTGGCCTTGGGGAAGCAGAGAGAGAGTAAATCCGGCCCTGCCCACTGCAAGAGTAAATTTTTTTTGTTTGCCCGGAGATGGGCTAAACCCAAGAACGAGAAATGCAATATATTGCAGCTTACTGATTTTATATTCTTTTTTAACCACTTTCCATCTGGCTAATTGTAAACAAGCAGCTGGGAGACACATGCTTAAAGGCGGCGTTTTTAAACGGCCTTTCCCACCGCCCCACAGGAAACTGCACACATTGCATACAAGCGTTCGGGCGACTCTATAGCGGCTCATTGCTTGTATGGTGCCGGGGACTGTGCCCCCCCCGCCACCACCGCCGGCTATCCCGGGCTGTCCTCCGCTGTCCTCCAAGCAGGTCCAGGACCGGCATGGCCGGTCTCTTTGGCTGAGTTGGAGGGAGATCAATACACTTTTACCGGCTGATCTCCCCTCCGATCACTGGTATTACATCACTTCTGATTTCAGCCTGTCATTTCTCCGGGTGCTGCAGCCAGAGAAGAAGCAGGTGAAGCAAATCTCTGCTTCATCAGCTTCTTTGGGGGTCCCTAGGTGACATTAGGGATTTAATAGACCCCTGATGTCTCCATAAGGAGGACCTGTATCTGTGCTATCACATAGGGGGCTTAAAAAAATAAAAAGCCACATGTAATAAATACATAAAATATAAAAAAACAAAAAAAATAATTTAAGTCCCATTCCCCCACAGGCACATACAAACATAAACACGTGTCGGGTGCACCTACGTGGGAAAATGAAGATTGCACTACACATGTTACATACAACCGTGAATGTCGGAGTGCGAGCAATAATTCTATATTGCAATAAATATTCAATAATCACTAAACTGTAGAGCGATAAAAGCTTTTAAAGTGTTGCCTATGGCCAATTTTGGGTATGGTAGTTTTTATTGCGACTTGACATATTTTGTGTCTATTTACCTGACGTGACCCCGCCTTTTATACTTTACCAAAAATTGGGTAATAAATGCTTCATAACATAATGTAGGGAAATCATAAAGTCTTTTTGTAACGGCGTTACATGAATAAATGTCTCAGCGCAGAATACTGATAAATGGCCTGGACAGGAACAACCCCGGTCATCAAGTGGTTAAAAGAAAAGATCAGTTTATACATTTTGAAATACTCAATAAACAAATAAAATTCATCAAATTCTTATTACTTCTTTACTCTTCCACTTCTTATCACTGACCCGTATTCACTATCTCACCCAGACTGGCCAATGTCCAACATTCTCACTTTCATCCTTTCTTTCCTTGTGTCCAGCCTCCGTTTTACAGCCGGGATGTCTCCCAAATGTATGACAACATCCTGAACCAGCCGCTGCAACTCCCGGGAGGAAAGACGACCGCGACCTGCGACATTCTCCAGGGTCTTCTGCACAAGGATCAGCACTGCCGACTAGGAGCCAAGTCTGACTTTGTACAGTATCTCCTCCCATTACACATTCATAGTTTTTCTTAAAGCATGACTTCTGTGTCCAGCAATATAAATTGAAGAAGGATATGTAAAAAGTAACCCTTGCAGTGGGGCTACCCTCGCACTGCAGAGGTTAATTGCTCATTTTGGGCTAGGGGCTAAAACAAAGAAAATATACTCATCTGATTCCTGCGGTGGTTAGCGCTCACCTCTCTCTCCCCTCCACTCTGGCGATGGTATGTCCCTCGGCATCCTCACATCTAATGCAGCTGCATTAGATGATGTCACGGGTCCTTAGACTGCTGAAGCCGGCAGTCTAAGGAGGATCAGGGGAGTATATCTTTTTTTTATTTTAGCCCCTTTTACAGACATCTAATATTAACTAGTTTACCTATTGTCATTATATTCGAAGCCAGGCAGTGGCGTCACAAGGAGGGTGCGGGGGGTGCGACCCCCGCACTTGGGTGACACCGTTTGAGGGGTGGCACCAAAATGACTGACAGCAATCATAACGATGACAGGGGTTCTGACACCTCCCCCAGTCTATCCAACCATTTAAAAAAAAGAAAGATTTTTAAGCAAAATTAAGTTTAGTGGAATTCTTTTAATCCAATGTAATCTGGACACTGTAACAAAACACTTGGTGTTCCGGTGTTTATAATCTACTATTCCAACACCCCAGCCTGAATACACCATTCTTACGCTGCTCTTTGTTGGTACAACAGCATACATACAAAGGAAGCACTTTTTTGGGTTGAGTTTGTAATAAAGAGCCTTTTACAGAACCAACACACAAATTTGGTCCTGGTATGCATCAGGTTATAAAGAGCCTTGATACAGAACTCTCTGGGTTGTTCATTAATCTTTATATCGGGACAGAGAAGAATGCGGCTGGGCTTTGTAATCTGCTGCTTAGGAGTTATATAAATCCAAAACAACTATTAAGATCATATTAGGACTGATCTGTGAGAGCATGTATCAATATCTCCGTAATGTCCCACATATATGTCCTACAAGGGAAGGACTGGAAGCCTTTGACTTGGGGGAAAAACACAACCAACAAGCTTCCATGGTAGGAAACAATATCTGTGGGCTAAAAAAAACTGCTCCACTCAAAGTGTACCATGGTGCCACATTGATGGGCTCCTTGTGTGAAGGGTAGACTCTGGATGTGAACGGGGACTCTGATGTAA